CAAAATATAATTATTAAATATTAAAATATTTTTTATAATAATACAATACAACACTTTTAACAATTACAATTATATTGTGAAATTAAGCCTTTGTTGTTATCAATCCCATGTGCAATGCCAGATCAATAGTTCTTTACCACTTTTTAACGTTTTCTTGTCCTTGCGCATTATTGTTATTATTTTATTTAAATAAATAGTCACGTCAACAACTTAAATAATTCGATATTTTTTCGTTAAAAATAAGAAATTTTGTGTTAAAATCGCATAATATACAAGTGAAATACAATAAAAGATAAAAAATAATTATTTTTATTATACAATCAATATTTAAAAAAAAAAAATGTTCGCGAATCATTGTTAGGTAAGAGCTACATGTATGCATGTGCTGGAAACAGAGTAACAACATCAATTATTTTGAAAATAAAAAACTTCATTAGGGAAAACACAAATCAAACACCATTTATATCTCTACTCTTTATACTGCAGAATATCAACGCAGTTTAAATGAAGACAGAATAAAGGAATCCCTTAATTGATTGTGAAAGTTGAGGAGTTTTTCAGCACTTTGGTTCTTGTTCACTCATTATCCAGAACCTCTCTATTTCTTCTGCTTTTCGTCCTGGAATACGGCCTGCTATCAAGTCCCACCTGTTATTATTAACACAAATTTGTAGAGACAATATCATGGTCTGAACCATTCATACCATTACTCTGTTACAAGTAACTTATGATTTTGGGAGACAATTTGCAAACAATATTCATCATGCACTTCATAGACTGGCAACAAATCCTTTATTTATTTTTTTTTTTCTCTCTATTTCTTTAATTTTCATAATCATGGTTGCAAGTTAATAACCAAGCATAATAATAATAAAATAGAATAATTATGACAATGAATCTCATTAATTTCTTTCATCATGTTTTCATAGAAAATATATGTTTTAAATGAAACAAAAAAAAAAAAAGAAGGTAAATATAAATCATCAATAGATTACCTTTCTCCAACCAGCCTGTGCATTCTGTATATGATATCTTCTTCTTGTTCTGTCATCTTTATGAATTTCTGCTCATCATCACTATTCATTTCTGCATCCAGAAAGTAAGGTTATTGCAGCATGTAATGATCCGCCCTGCAAATGAAGTCAGTCCTATCTATATATGCACTTAAACAATCGACCAAAGAACAGGCAAAGGAGGCAACTTAATTAGTAAGACAAGATAAAGAAGAACAGCTATGAACATAGAGATCACAAAACCTTGAAGATTTGATTTCTTGGTCTCGGCTGCTTCCGCTGGACTTTTATCCATTAGTTTGTGTTTCACACGCAAACACAGAAGAATAACACAGTATAAATGGATAAATGATAGAAATTATAAAATTTTAATTAAGAATGAGATACGTACAGCGAAGTGCAAACTAATAATTATTGGAAGTTCTCAACAAGGAGAACTCTTCACCCACAGATCCAGACTGACTGGTACAACTGATGGTGACAGGGACATAAAATAGCTCTATGTGTTGACTCGTAGTTATATCAGCCATCGGGCCTTAAATGTCTTTCGGGTAGAGGGTATGATAACGGACCAAAATTCACACTGACATACTCACCAATTCCAGCCCATCAGCAAACCACGGTGCCAACAGTCCCCATATTCAGTGCTAGATGGGTAGGATTCTTCTTTTGCCGAGGGTACATCTTGAGAACCTGACGTGGACCATGTCCACCATGGAACACAATGAATTTATTCCCATGGGTGGTTTTTAGTAAGGGACTTTCGAGTGCCTCTTAGGGTAGCACCTTTTAGCCACGAGTTACATTTTATTTATTATAATATTTGTAATTAATTTTGTTTAAATTTTTATATAAAATTTAAATATAATATAATATAGAATGTAAAAATAAAATATAATATATATTCAAAATGTGTAAAAATGTATAAATCTAATATGAAAATTTATAAAAAAAAATATATAAATATCCTAATTAATAAATTTTAATTTATATCTTTAAAGTATAAATTAAATAAGTTTTTTTTAATAAAAAGAGAAATTCCCAGTTACAGCACTATATTTAGTGATAGAATATGGCATGTCTCAGCCTATAATGGAAAAGCAGATTCAAAGTGATGAGATGAAAGTGGAGGAATCCCATATGCGGCTCTTTCCATTTCCATTCAAAGCATTACTCTTCAGTCTTCCCTCTGACAATTGAGATTGACTCAATGCAAGCTACAGACCTGCTCAGAAGAGCTACTGCCAAGAATAAGAAAAGTTCTCTTACATCGAGGGGGAGATGGCTAGCAGGTCCTTTCAATGCTATGGGGACCACCAAGGCTCTGACCAGAAGGAAAGCCACTGCAATCTAGCCAAAGCCAACACTTCAATTCAATCAGGGAATGGAAAAGTCCCATGCCAAATACAACTATATGGAAAAATGCAAGCCAATTTTTTTTTTGATACATAAAAAAATGCAAGCCAATTACCCTAATGGCAACAACACCTATGGCAGCCAGAACCTGTGGTTCACAGTGCTCAGTGCATTGGCCAGGCTGGTGGCCACCACACCAGCAGACATCCAATGGGATGGTGCGTTACTATGAGAAGACCAAAATGAAGGTATAGATGCAGCAAACCTTCGAGACCTCCTTCATTACAATCTTCTTATGAGACTAACCTGTAAAACCCCGAGAGTGGTCATTGAGATAAACATTCTAATACTTAAGTTAACAATAATCTACTTTACACTCAAGGAAAATATTGAAAGAGTTTTCCATTTGGTTGTTTCTATCATACCTCTTTGGAACCATGTGTGAACGTATTTATATGTCTTGACAGGGCATCCATGTAACTTTCTTAATTATCATAATCGTAATATGATATGTCTAACAGGGCAGGCGTTTTTGGTAGACATAATGTGCCTTAACGGAGTGACCGCATTAAATGAGCGTGGTGTATTCTGACGAAATAAGTCTCTGGAAAACAAAAAAACTAGGTCAAATCTAGTAATTGAGTGTGGGTGTTCTCATTGTAATTGCCGTACAATTATAGTACTGTGGCAGAACATTGAACTCTGCCCTATCCTTACAAAAAGGTGTGTACAAGACGGGTCAGTTCTAGACTAACTACATTGACATAAATGACCTAGTTTTCACTAAATCAAATCACTTGTCGACTAGAATATCAGCTAAAGAAATGAAAAATAAGAGGCAATTTCTTCTAGCAGTTTGAATTTTTAATATCTACAAAAATTCGATGTAAAGACATTACATTAGCTTTATCCGCGTCCTGGGCAATTTTAAGAACTACGTGGCGACAATGTTTCTAGTTCATTCCAAACTCTTTATGTAATTTGAATTAATTTTGCTGCTCTACTTGACCTTATTTAAAGCAAGGCCATCCATGCCATTGTCCTAAATACAATTTTTTCACCGCTTGTCCCAACTCCCAAATATACTCGAGTTATAGCTTTTCCTATAATTGATCTTGATGCCTTTGTAAGGCTTCAAATTAATACGATGAAAATAATCATGTATCTTTGGACAAAGATAGAATTAAGAAACCATTGACAAAGAAAAAAACAAATTGAACAGAAAATCCTCTTTTATGAAATTTAACCTTGCATAAGATTTCACATATGCCACTTCATTATGCACATCCAATTCATAAAGTGCTTGGTTGGTCTCTAGAACTTTTGAAATAGTACCTCTCTATCATAGAAACTAAAATTGAAGCCAAACATAATTTTTATGTAGAGTTTCTTGCTTTTGTAGAAGATAAAAATCAACTTTTATAATTAAAAACTGATACTTCAAATTTTAAACTTGTAAGAAATGGTATATCTAGATTTTGGGATTATAGCAGTACCATATATTTTCCTCTAGATTATAATATTTTAATAAAAAGTAAAAAATAAAATAAAAACACACAGCATTTGTCAGGATCACCACACAAATTTGAACCCAGTGCTCCCTCTATATATCATATATTTGTCAGCCTTTCCTTTTGCCATGAGACCACTTGATGCATTCACACAACATTATTTAATATCAATGATTCACACGTTTACATTAAATTTTTTTTTTTTTCTGCACCATGGGGAATGGGGATTTGCTCAGCATATATGCAATTCTCCAAGATAACATTAAATACCAAAAAAGGAAACATGGGAATTTATTCTACCACTTATTGAAATAAAAGGACGAATCACTCCCTCTCCATATGCATAATAATACGTTATATATATATGGGCTCAGACAATGCTCAAATCATCAAGCAACATCAAACAGAGTGCAAATTAGAGCTTCCTTACCTTGCTTTCGGCTGCCATGGCGTCACTGCAATGTTATGAATCCTCCAAGAAGTACACCAGTGAAGGTTACAATGGTGGCTCAATGGGGCAGAAAGTGCCTGGAAAGGGTAATTGGGCTTTCAAGGCCGACAAACATGAGAGTTCGTACCAAATGGGCTTTGCAAATGAAATGGGCCGAACCAATGGTTATGGTTCCGGCCTGACCCATGGGAGCCACATGAACAATGGCATGGGTGGACTCCAACACTGTGGGGGTGGCAAACTCAGGGTCCATGGAACAGCCCAAGCCCATGATTTCGGCTATGGTCCAACCCACCGTTTCGGCGACGAAATGGGCCAAGTCCAGTTTTATGGACCAGGCCCAATCCAAGGTAATCATTTTAACAATGGGGTCGGCCCAATCCAGGGTTATGGCCCTGGGAAACCCACGGGCTATAAAGTAACCGAAACGAAGACCCATGAGTTTACCAAAATTGAGACTCATTCCTCAAACTCAAACCAGGGTAATTGCTATGGCGGAACCCATGGCTCTGGCTTCGGCCGCCATGGTCCGCGTCACAACAAGGGCGACCATCCAAGGAGGGGGATATTAAGGAGGATCAAGGATGGAATCTCCGGGCACAATAGCTGCAGTGACAGTGACAGTGACAGCGACAGTGAGTGCGAGATGTACGAGAAAAAGAAAGTAAGTTGGTGAATCAATATAATTGTACAGTTTCTCGCTTCAATTATATGCACAACAGCACAAGCACAGTCTAAGAAATAGGTTAAATTTCTAATTTGATCCCTCAATTATTATACAGACCTCAATTTGGTCCTTAACTTAAAAAATTCTTGATTTGATCCCAGCTGTTTATCAATTTGACCTTAAGTTGGTCTTTCGTACAAAAACAGATGTTTTTTTTCATTATTAATATGACATATAGTAATTAAATAATAATTTTTTACAGTTAAGTAATGGATATGTCAACTATTTTTTAATGGAAGGGCCAACTTAGAATCAAATTCGTAAATAGTAGGATCAAATCAGGAATTCATACAATAGTTGAGGGATCAAATCAAGAGTTCATACAATAGTTGAGAGATTAAATTAGATATTTTTTTAGTTTAGGGACCAAATCAAGGATCCATATAATAGTTGAGGGATCAAATTGAAGATTTAACCTTTCATTGATTACTTCTTTTTGTTGATTTGCAGGTATGGGTTAGCAAGGGACTGTGAGAAAGATAATGATATTTTGAAGCATCTATATATGGAGGAGATGCCAAACAAATAAAGTTTAATATGGAGTACTAAATAAGATGGAGTAGCGGATGAATAATGTTATATATAGTATGCAATGGCTATCATTATTGCTCTTTCTTTGTATGGATGGGTTTCCTCTGAACCAATGGGTAAAGAGATGTATTTGTGTGCCTGAAATAATTTGAGGAACAAAATTTAATGACTACCTGAAATTTTGAATATTGTAGTATATATTCCAAGAAAAATAAAATAAAATTATGAATAAGAATCAAATGTGTACCAGATGCATAATTTGACTAATTAACAAAAAAGTAGAGAAGAAAGAAGAGTCCATGCTGACCTTTATAATCGTAGAACTAGATGGAACGAAACTTGACTACAGTGGAAAAGCAACGGGAAAGGGACTCAAGCTAAGTAAACTGTGGATTGCAGAATCACATTATCCCTGACCCTATCAATAATCACACATATGGAATACAAGGAACTAAGGCCAAATAAGTGCACTCTGGTAAGATTACTCACAATTCAACATAACAGCACCACGTTCCCAAGCATCAAAGGACAGCCTGCTCGCATTGACAAAGGCTTATATATATATATATATATATATATATATATATCCACACAAAGGGAAAACAACGCTAAGATAACACCATTATCTTAGGATGGTATATTCATTTGGAACATGGCCTACACAAAAACTGTAAACTGGATGTTTGGAAATACTGTTCTTTGTCTTTTGTTTAGTTGTCTCGTTTTCATATGGTAAAAGATTTTCTTCCTTTTTTTTTATCTAAGTGAAACTAATTATGAAGAAAAAATGAAGTATTTTGTAAATCAAACTGTATTTATATTGAAAATATTAAAATATTTTTAATGAAACTTTTATAAAGATTTATTAAGTCAAACTACTAGCAAAAGTGAAACTAGTACAAACTAAAAAAAAAAAGGCCAAAAGGGAGTACAATTACAATGCAATTGCCCTCACTTCCTAAAAAGAGACAAGTGCCTCTTTGGTTTAAAGAGCTTCTGAAAATTGTAGAAACTGAAGCTCCAGATTTAAAGCTTCCATAATAAAAGATTCACAAAAAGGCTTTGAATTTTTAAGAAAATTTAACATCATTATAGACGTTGCCTCTTGAAGAAATTTCTCTGATCGTAGATTTGATCAACAGATATGCATTTCTTGAAGTTAACATTAAAAAAATACGGAATTCATCATGCAACCTCAAAGATAGCGCCAGAGATAAGTTTCGCTTAAGCACCTTGCTCTTGCTTCGGCTGCCATGCCCCCGAACTCCACCGGAAACTGCACAGATGAAGGATGCACTGGGATCTCAGTACAACAGCGCTGGGGATACTCTCTGTCCGGTGAGGAATGCCAAACTCCATACAACCACAAAACGGGCCCAAGTTGTGGCAGGTTCGTTGAAAAAACACAAGCCTGTACGAATGGCCCATGCCATTGCCCATAGGCCATGAAATTCGGCTCAATATAGGCCCAATTTCATATTTCAAGGTCAAGATGAGGCAACAAGTACAAGATGGACTATCGACCATAGACTGATCTCGGCCCAGGATTATGGACAGGTGAAACATGGGCCATGAAAAAATTTTGGACTAGACAATTTCGAGCCTCATTTAACCATGACCCAAATCGAGAACTTAGAATCGGCTTATTTCATTTTTAAGAGAAGTCTTCTTCAATTCTAGCTCTTTACTTCAACATTTTGTTATGGTTTCAGAGTTTTGGAAAATGTTGTATGTACAGTCTCCATGCAAATTGCATGCTTTAATTCATCACCACGAATTGGATTCTCTAATTTGTATATATGATTTGAGGAATGTCAATACTGACACTAGTCAACACACTATCTTAACAGTGACAATTGATATATCCAAAGGGATAAGGTTTGAGATGCTTCAAACCCATAGCCTGTGCTTTATTCTATGTTTCAGAAAGAAGACTTACATTTCTGTAAATTCTTATAATTTGTAGCCTACAAAAAGCCTCTTAGCTAATTTTCTCTTCAAATAATCAGTGAATCTTTCAAGGCATTGGTTGTCCAATCTCCCTCAAAGGCTTCTGCCTCGGCGCCACATAAGTAGGCATGAAGAGTAGAAGTCTTTGGGGGCTACTGAACAAGTTGCTCCTTGCTTTGCTAATAATAGTTTACTTCTTTGTTTTTTCTATTTGCCAAGACACTTTGATTTTGCTCACTCTCCCTCAAGGGCTTCTGGCTACCAATGTAGACAATGCATAAATGTGCCTGAAGTCTTTGGGGAGAGTGGCCAAAATCTTTAATGATACCTATAGTTATTTGCGAAGTACTCATTATCAGGGCACTGGCATGGCGTTTATGGCTCTCTCTCTCTCTCTCTCTCGGGCTTCCAAATTTGCCCTGAGTACAGGCTTAAACTGAAGTTCTTTGGGACCGAGAGAGTGGACAATGTTTTTCACAGCTTAAATGACATTGCTGTACGTAATCGCTTCCGAATGCTAATTCAAAGTGTTGCACTATCAATTGAAAAGAGAAAAAATGGGTTTACAAGTAGCTGCTAAAGATCAATTCCTAAGTCCTAGTACCATATATATCTAGAGCCAGAGAGAGACCGGTCGATAGGTGGGATTGAATTCATAATATATATCTTCTAGCTATAGAGGGGTCCAAAAATATGTGCAGCAGTGGAGAAAAGCCTTCCTCTCCGGGAGAAACATATACATTTTCTTTATCTCCTTTTCTTTTTCACCGTTTAACTTTGATGAACAAAAAACAAAATTTCTCTCCTCTCATGAGAAACATTAGCATTAAGCAGGCTTAATTTGATCCTGAAAATGGAAGGGAACAGCATTGCATTAATTGCATCTGCAAGGTTTTTGAATAATGGGAAAGGTAGGGGAGAAAGCGCTCGGCAAAGGTAAATGGTGAAAATCCCAACCAAGACAAGATGCATGTGCTGGCGATGACCCACAAGTCAGTAGCAGTCTCGCAAGTTGCATTTCAGAGACTATTTCAAGTACGTTTGCCGGACTCTTTTCAGGCTTTCACTACCTTAACTAGATAAAGGTTGTGAACATCAATATGAATTGTTTCAAATCACCTGCATGTCGTCTCTTCCTTTTCCATCCAATTTCAAAAACTATATAGATAAAAATAAAGAAGGAATCTTAGACATATATTAATTGATGATCATTAAGTTTATCTATATATATCTCTGTGTAGGGACATTGATATTTATGGGGCTGACCTTCTATGTAACTTATTTTCTAATAGTTAGATACACTGAACTAAACCTCTGTCTCCCAAAATAATTAAAAAACAATTAATACCTCACTAATTATGAGCCAAATAAACATTATATTATGTTGATTTACTCAATATATAGGAAGCAAATTTCCTACTACATTGATTCTAATGGAACCACCAATTAAAACCATCAGAATCCATACGATTAATTGGTATAAGATCAAATATCAGACAAGAGAATATAAAGTGTATACACAAGCAATTCTCAACACATCTCAGAAGTAAATATATATATATATAGCTAGGTGGCATTGTGATGAAATAAATGGAGAGATTTCTGGATTCAGATCTCTCTCTGGGAATTCATCAGCTAACCTTATAATAAATTACCGTTCTTGAAACATCTAATGCGAGATGAAATCAAATGGGTTGGCCTACATGTACAAATCCAGGACTGCAAACTAACTTCTTAATCCTGTGCCAGTTGCTCTAATTAAGCAAGCTCTTGATTTTTCTCCACAACTCTCACCCCCTTTGCAGATCTAAGCACATTGGCCTGAGATACAATATATCAGCAAGCATTATATATTCAAAAAGACTATACCCAAGAAAGAGAAAGATGAGAGTTAAGAGTTAACGATATATGATGAGGTTTTAAAGATCACCTGTTCGTCTGTTATTTCGACTGCAAAACCATCAACGATGACCAAGGACAAGGTCTTTTTGTAGCTTCCAGGCTCAAGAGTGCTTGCCAACAACTCATCATGCTTCCTGCTTAGATATGAATCTAGTTCATACGCTCCTTTCTTTGTTCTGCAAAATACAGAACAAGAGACTCAAACATTAAGAACACATAATAATATATATGAAATGATGATATATAGTACTGCAATATAGAGGAACTGACCGATCAGCCCGAAGACGCTCATATTCCGGATCATAATTCATGAAAACAAAGTAAAGCTCGCTTGTTGTGCTCTCCATTATCACCCTTTCTTCTAAGTTCTAACTTAGATTTAATTTATTCTAGCTAGTAGATATATAGCTCAATATTTTGTTTTGTCATGCATTTTCTGCACCACATGGAGTAGGTATTTATACATGTAAAAAGCAGCTATGTAACTCGAAAGTCATGAGATACCCTTTTCTTATTTGGAACCAATGACGTCTTTTCAAAATTTAGTACAACAAATAGAAAAGGCTTAATCATATTTCTTTTACAAGCTTGAATCGAAAATACCCTAATTAATTATGCTAGTGGAGTCTAATTTTTTTTATTAATTTTTAATATTTAAAAATTATATTAAATTTAATTAATTTAAAATCGAATAATATTAAACTCTACCCCCTTAATATTTATTTTTTATTTACAATACTAAAAATCAGAATCTAACTTAAACTTTTATAATTATGCCGGTGGAGACACTTTTAATTAATTATTAATTACGTTAATACAATAAATATTCTGATGGAGGAGTCTCCACGTTTCATTCTGATTTCCGACCTAGGGTTCCGAATTATGGGGGTCTTAAAAAATGATAACCACACGCGTGTTGAAGAAAAGTCAACACGCTAACTAATTGATCATTGTAATGAAACCTGTATAGTAGTTGGGAAATTATACATCTATTTTATAAAGTTATATATTTTATTATATTTTTGTTATATATTAATAATGTTTATTATTTATATTATTAAAATTGATATATTTTTTAATTATATTGTTAAAATTGATGATTTTTGTTATTTATATTATTAAAATTAATGATTTTTGTTTGGGGTGCACTCTTGAAATTTTTCGCAAATAAATTAGCTTAAAGATAGAACAGGTATATAATCATATTAAAAATATATATCAATTAAAATTAAAAATAAAAATGAAGACATCTTGATATTTAAAATATCAAAAAAAAATTAAAATGTTAAAATACTATTATGAAAATAATAGACGTGTTGATTTATTAAAAATATTTTAATATTTTTATTATCATTTTTAACATTTTAAATGTTAAAACATCTTAATTTTTCTTAATCCAACTAAAAATTTAGCAAAGAATAGGCTCATTGCGTTGAATTTAATTACCATTAAAAGGATGCTACATAGGACCACAGCTATTCATTGAGAAACCATTGAATGTTAATTACTACTAAAAGGATGCTACACGGAGGACTACAGCTAGACATTAATAACCGCACGTGAAATCTTGTTCTGCGTGAGGTCTGAACCCTTACCCAATTCCCACCTTTCTGGTGTGCATGAATCTTAATTTGACTTTGGACTGAAAACTAATTAAGCAGCCCTTAAATAATCAAGGTGGCTCTTAGAAAGAAAAATATAGTACTATATAGTAACATATGGACCGGGAGAATATTATTTAAACCCACTTAATCTCTTCTCATTCTTTTAATCATCCAATAAAAATGAACTGGCATGAAGAAGTCAACACTATTTACAATTCAATGTAACATTGGAACCCTTTTTTGTTCTTCAGCTAACCATAACATGATGTCATGTCACTTAGTCATATTGATGATAGTTCATATACATTCAATTTATCAAATTTGTTATATGCAAGTTTCAATACATTATATTTTTAGAAAGTAAAAATTAACATGTTTTAGTACTAAAATGTCTAAATGTTTAATCTCAATTACTTTATTGGTGGAATTCAAGTAAACCCTACATTATGATTGTTTTATAACAACCAATTAATGTATTTGACAAATCACTATACAATTTAAACTAAATCATAAATAATATCAAAATAACATATAAACTTGAATAATAACTTGTATACAGCAGAATTCGAACCTTTTATGTGCAAACACTCATTGAGACTATGAAGTGTTAAGAATGCAGGCTTGGAATTAGGAATCGTAAGGGAAGAATTTTTAATAATTTCAGGGTCCCTTCTCATATATACATCCCATGCCATGACTAATTCATCATGATATGTAAGCTTCGGTGAAGTCTCAGTGTCATCTACAGCTTTTTTATTTATTTATTTTTTTGGTGTATAATATCACGTACAGCATTTAGTAAACAGCATTTAGTAATCCTGCTGTGTACAAGCAGGAAACAGTAACCAAAAGTTATTGAAGGACAAGCCCCATCTTACCATTTTTGTGCTAAGAATAACTTGGGGTTGCAAACCTATAAAATTATTCAGTCCAAGTAATGAGAGTGGTTACACTTGTACTTTTTTTGAATCAGGACAGATTTTTATGAAACAAAAGGTTCAATATGATTATATTAAATTATATAATATTAATTATTAAGTGATATTAAATTTTTTGATATTAAAAATTTATTTAAATTATAAAATAATATTCTTTTTTTAGAAATTTCTATTTTTTAAATTTCTTTTCAAATTCGTATATTAATCTGTTTCTTTTCTCTCTTTTTTCTATTTTATCCATTTTCTTATTTCTTTTCTCTCTCTTTTTTTCTCTTTAACTACATCCCCATCCTGGATGGACCACTGGGAATGTGAGAATGATGAGGTAGAAGAAGGCAGGGTGGTGGGCACAGCACAGGTAAGTCATGGCGTCTTATCTACCCTCCTCCTTCTCCGCAAGGGGAATTGCGGGGCACACCACTATATTATGCTTCCAGGTGCCAGTAGAAGAGGTTGGAATAGAGGGGACTGTTTAGAGCACAGAGCACTCGCATGTGTGAGAATTTAATTGGAAGAAAGGACCGGACAGCAAGAGAGAGAGAGTACTCTAATGTCCGGATGCCGACAGCTTTCAGTCACATGGTGGGGTGGGTTGGGGGGTTTCTCTCTCGTCTCGTACAACAATTACTGGACCTTCCAAACAACCCACACGTGAGACGCTCCACTTCGTCCGGAATAGATACCAGATACAGCAGATTGCATTTGTCTTTTTTCTTCTTTTTTTTGGGAAAAAATTATGGGAAAATACAATTCCATGCGTTAAACCTTCCCCCATTTTCTTTTCTATCTAATTACATTCCAAATAGAAATTTCTTGATGGCATCCGCAGCTTCGCCTGCTTTCATCGGATGCACTTAAATTCATGATTTTGATTATAGTTCAAAACTGCAGTGTGCAGCTCCTTACTCTTTCTCTCTTCACATTTCCCCCTGTTCAAAAAAAAAAAAAATTTCTTGATCATAACTGCTTACATCTTTGCTGCTTCAGCGACAGCTGGCCCCCATTAAAGGAAATCAACGGCAGATCATCCCATGAAATTAACCAAAGATGACATCCTCATTCATATTCACGCATGATGCATTGACATCCCTGATTTGAGTTGATTTGTTCACCCTCTTTAGGTCTCTTTCTGGGTTTTGTTTTTGCAGATGAAATGATGATTCTAGGAGCCTTATTTGGGGGGGTTTTAAATTGATACATTTTGGATGGTTCTGATTGGTTTGACCCAATGACTCTTCCCCCTTCAGATGCATTATAGCGGTGGATTCGATCACAAAAATCTAGAGTGGAATCCATTTGTAATTCTCAATGATTTTAATAGGTTAACATGGCTATGATTCATGACTTTTAAGATTCAATCTGGGCCGTCAGGAAAATATTACAGCCCACATATTACGACTCTTCATTTTGGGGCATAAAGCCCAATTCCAATATCAAGTCCAAGCCTAGACCAAAAAAAAGCCCATTGGACTTTTCATGTAAACCAACTGGAGGGTGGCTGTGTTCCCACGACGCGCTTCTGTTTATATGTGTCACATCTTTGATGACGTCACGTTGTACATTTTTTCCATGTTTAGGTACATGATTACACCATTGCCCCTACTCCAGCGGCAAAAAGAACGACAGCATGAATGGTGTAGACGTAATTTTATCTTTTACCAGAATTGACCATTGACCAACCCACACCACACGATTCGTTCGGTAATTTTTTTCCAACCCGAGAAACACGCAAGTCTGCATTTTCCATCCCACCCCATCCCAAGCACGTGGTAGGTTACCCTGGTTGCCCGCTGCCCGTCTACCTCTCTACCCCGTCCTTCAGTCAAAACCCTCTGCCTATACTTCACTGATTAGTTTTGTATTTATATGCCTCAGTTGCTTCGAATTCATAGATCTGTCGAAGAAATGGCTAAAGTTGCCAGCACCGTCGCCGTCGTCTTCCTCTTTTTGGCCGTCTCTGCTGCTCACTTTCAGGAGGTAGATCTGTGGAAACATTCCGCGGTTGCTACTTGGAAGACCGTAAGCACCTCGTCGGAACACGACCAGAACCGCGCCGAAGCAGTCGTCATACCTAGCAAGGCTGTCGAGTTCAACTTCAACACTGAGGAGGAATCTGGTCTAGACAGTCACACCGTGCCGCTGACGATGACTAACTTCCGTCCCATCAACCGCCGTTTCCCTAGGCGCCCCTTGGTTCCTTTACGTAATCGTCACCGTCCCAATTGCCGTCAAGGCCACCGGTTCATGCCTTGGGAGCCACGGCTCCAGAAGAAGGGTATTCCCTTTGGTGACGATATGCTCATGTCCGATGATGGGATGAACTTTGACACGCTGCTTCAAGGCGGGGTAAGGGCCACAAGGAAGGTACCGGGGAGATGGGTGAGGTTTCACCGGCGCACTGAAGGGCCCAGGTTTACTTTGAGGGATGAAGCAATCTTCAGAGGCCCAAGTCACTTCAGCCAGTTCGAAGACAATGAGAAAGGGGAGCACGTGCATAAGCACCCCCTCCACAAGGAGAGAGAGGAGCAAAAGGGTGGATTCCTGAAGAGCCTTGGTAAATTTTTGCACCATTTCTGAGGAGAAGGAGATGCTACTCCAGAGTCCCAGACTTTATGGTGTGCTGAAGCATCAGCATATATATATATATAGGTTGTTATATATATGTAGACTGGTTACAGACATTTTAGCTGTGTTGTTGCCTTGCCGATGCTTTTCGTTTGTTAAGTAATCAATAATTTCAGATCAGCAAGGCTGGGGTATCGATGTGTAGACATCTTTGTTTAATGCAGTATTTAGGTCATGTTTGCTGAATCTGATCCAGCAAATTATATGATTATTATGTAAGATGTTCTTTGAGAAATATAACTCAATGAAAGAAATTTAAGAATACTGCTGATCAAGAAATGAAAGATTGAACATGTATGATCATGTGAATTATACAGTCAATTAAGATACATCTCAATAAAAGCATAATGCATGAAAGTGATACAAATTATGGTCAACAAAGATAAACTATTTATTGGATGCTGGAAAGTTGGGGGCATGGTGCTGGGCTTACCTTACTTGCGACACCACTCACATCAGAGCAGTCCCAGGGAGGAGATCTTGGTTTAGCCACACCATTAAGGTTGATCTCTGAAAGATAAATCTCGGTGAAAGGGGCATTCCTCAGGCCACGGAATGAACCTGCTCGCTGGACTTCCACTCCCCTTATGTTATTGAAGGTAATGCCCTTGACAAAGGGGAGAGCATTTGGGTCGAACTTTGTGTCAGGGTGGCCTCCAACATCGCCTGCTATCCTTATTCCTGACCGTGCTTTATTTATCCACACATCAGAGATTGTAATGTTCTTTATGAACCCTCCTCTACCTATGTTTGTCTTGATATTGATACCAAGTCCAACGTCATTAAGATTTATGTGCTCAGCCAGCACATTCTGCACCCCACCAGAGGTTTCACTTCCCACTGCAATTCCAGAAAATGGAGACGACCCTGTTATTCTCCTGATTATGATGTCAGAGCTGGGCCGACCATATTTAATCCCGTATTCATCCCATCCACTCTTCACAGCCACAAGATCATCTCCAGTAGAAATGAAGGAGTCTTCTATACAAACGTTAGAGCTTGAATCTGCACCAATTAAATGTAAAACCATCTTAAGGTTAACATCTTGTGGAGATTTATTTTGCAGAAAACATATTGCCCTTCCCACAAGCAACGAATGGAGATGATTATCAGAATTGCATGGTCTAGATGTTCAACATCAAAAATCATAATCCCTCCCCATTTATATGCTAAAAGAGATAACACCTCCAACTTAGCTAGGAAGAAACAACTTGGATGTTGGACCCAACACCCAACTTACAGATAATCAATGAATAACAATTCAGAGGTTCTATTCCATTCGTGTCATCTTGCAAACAGGAGTTATAATGAGGTTTTTAACTATCAATATGAGTTTAACTTAATAACCATAAAAGTACTTCAATCACTGCAACAGGAAAAGCTAGATGGTCAATTTGCTTGCATGTGTGGAAGCAAAATCCCAAGCAAGATGAAGTACAAACGAAAGACATAAATTGCATTTCTATTACCTGGATCGATTCCATCAGTATTGGGAGAGTCATGTGGAGCCAGGATGGTAACATATCGAATCACAACATTACTAAAAGGGAGAGAGAAGTATCAGTACAAGTAGAGATTTTAACCATAGCTGTAACACAGTACAAGAGAAGTGAATTTCTAGCAGGCTAGCATATCTCAAAGAAAAAAATATTTAATTAATAAACTGACTTGTATCCCATATTTTGGAATACTTTATCAAATTGGGAAGAAGTTCTTAGTCTACACAATACCAATCACACTAAGGAGACCTCATATTACAATTGCTTCCCTATTACAGTATGATTCTCACTAACTGACAAGGTAACAGTTAATAGGATGATTACCTGCAATAAACGGGGTGAATGTTCCAGAATGGGGAATTTTGGAAGATCACATTGGAAATGATAATGTTTTTGGAATTTAAGAATTCAACGAGATTTGGTCGTGTATGTTGGAGAGTTCTGTCTCTCCACATGTCCCACCAAACACCTCCCATGCCATCTATTGTGCCATTCTCACCTATGCCATTTAACATGAAATTAAGAAAAAACATAACTCAATCCTGAGAACTGAACCTAGAAAAGAATAATCAGATAAATATCACTATGCTGTAGGACTCCAACAGTTTCTAGCGCAGATTGTTTATTAGCCTAAGACACTCTCTAACTGTGGCAGAACAGAGGTTCATGGAACTCAAATAAAAAATCATTCATGCTCAGACCTACCAGTGATTATCACATCATCTAGTCCATCCCCATGGATAAAGCTCATATACCTTTCTCCAGGAAGCTCCCTGCCTCTTCCATAAGATGGCAAGGGAGCAATTAAAGGCCAATTCCAGGTTTCCTGAAGCATCAATAAAGAAGTTTAGAAATAATATCCAACAAATTGTCATATAGAGAGGTTATATTCCAAGTAGAAAAGGATATCAAACCATTAAACAGGGAAGGCCCCACTTTGGATTATAGGAGATGCAATGATTTCAGCCAACATGCAAATCATTAGTAAATGGCAATCAAAAAATTGCTTTAGTAATTACTTCACTTCAATCCTTCTTTTTCTTTTGTACAAGAGGAGTTGGAAGCAAAGATCTCTGACTTTGGATTACTAACAGAAAATAATACAAGTCTTCTATGGTCCCAAACATTTCTTCAGTTCCTTCTAAGTTAAGAGGGATGTGATTACATTATTAAACAGTAAAAGAACATACATATATTATGAAGCAAAAATATTAATCCAATTAGTAGTATAATAATATATCGACAATGCCTGCCAGCTAAGTCCAACTTGTTGGATAGCAAATTCCATTAATGTCATGCACATTATCTCCTGCAACCGTACAACAGAGGCCCACCATGTTTCTTTCTTTCATTCACCAAATTATCAAATTGGTGGACTCACTATGGTCTATAGAGACAACTTAACCCAAAATTCTAATCCCTATGCCTCTACTCTGGCTGAGCCATAAAGTACCCCTATAAATCAACATTTTACCCATAATTTTATCATATCACAATTCATCACAAAAGCCTAGATTCTGAGATCAACTCAGGTCTCAGTCATTGTAATTTTAGAATATATATACTATATAATGTAAAATATACTTGGGTAATTCCAGAAACGATTAAACTAGTTTTAGTTTGTAAATGCTAATAAGCTAACAGCTATACATAATTTCACTCACTCATCTATATATGGTCCAAATGGATATATTAAAGAAGTTTACTAAATACTCATTTCATACTTAAAATTAACAAACTAACTAAAAGGTATACATTGATGGCCAAAAAGAAAAAACCCTAGAAAGTATTCATCAATCACATTTCTGCATCTAGTAACTAAATTTATTGGCCTGTTAACAAACTATGAACAAAATCAACGCACAATTAGAACCACTATTTGTGGAAAATTCACTAGAATGGAGCAATGACCAGCAAAAATTACAGGAGAAATTCAGTAAAATGCATATATGAAAATTAGTGCAAAATCAGGAGAGTACCTGAGTGGCTTTGATAACGGCACCTTGAGCCAAATACAGAGTCATGTGGCTAGCGAGATTGAAGCTCTCCGTTAAGTAGACGCCAGGAGGCACGTAAAGGAGCGTGCCACCTCGCTTCCTCAGATGCTGAATCCAGTAAATCGCCGCTCTAAACGCCTTGGTGTTCATCGTCCGGCCGTCCCCCACCGCACCGAAATCCGTTATCGAAATCCTCTCGTGCCTGTACCTCATCGGCACTATGCCGGAGCAAGTCTCCATGCTCCCATAAGCAACGGCGCTATAGGAAAACGACAGGTAGAGAAAGTAACAGAGCAAAGTGGAAGCAAAAACTCGAAACATCATCATAGTGACAGAGGGAAGGAAAGGAAGAAAGGCTGGGAAAGATTAATTAAAGAATTGGGGGAGTAGATCTGGAGATGGTACAAATAGAAAGAGCCAGACGGAGATTTAGAGGAGAGAAAATCTGCATTTATTATATTATTGAGCAGGAATCCAAAGCATTAGCGATAAGAGACCGGGAAAATGTGGTGAATAATAAACGGCGGGGAGGAGGGAGAGTTCACAGGTACTGAGGCTGAGCTAGTGTCAGTGGTAGCTACGCGTCAGAAAGCAGACACGGGAACGGCATTAATGCGATGCGGCCTTTATTATTCATTTATTATTCTTTCCTTCACGCCTTTTACCTCTCCTACTATTATTTCTATTATTATTTTGAAATGATTAAACCTCCATTTTTATCCTTAAATTTAAAAAATTTTTGTTTTAGTCTCTATTATTCATCAATTTTCATCAATTTAACCTCAATTTGGGTCTTCCATCATAAATTTTATGACATGTTCTGTTAATATATAATAACATGATGACATGTTAATATATTAAATATAAATGAAAAGATAACATGATTGATATGAATAAAAGTAATGATATGACAAAAAAAAAAAACTTTAAATTATTTTTTCTTCTCTTTTCACTCTCTCTTTCTCCTTCAGATCTGTTGGGTTCGAGCCTAACACACTTGTGTTTTAGTTATTAGGTTTGAACTCAACATGCTTGCGTTCCAATTGTTGGGTTCAAACCTAGGTGTCTAACAAATTTTTTGTTTTGTGTTTTTGTGAATTTTGTTGTTTGATGATGATGATGAATT